CGCTCTATTTTATAGAATTTATTGTGTCGAATTCCGACGACTTTGAAAAATTCACTTAAAACTCGTCGCGACGCTTTGAAAAGAGTGCGAAGTCTTAAATGACATTTTTGCGGGTTTTACAGCTTCTTTAAGATTAGAGGTTGCAAAGCTAGGTAGCAAGAAGAGAGTAAATTTGACACGCTCGGTACCGCTAGGTACTGCTAGGTAAGGTACTGCTAGGTAATGTACCGCTCGGTCTTGCTATGTAAATGCTCGGTACCGCTTGGTACATGCTCGGTACAGCTCAGTACAACTAGGTACACGCCCAATACCGCTCCCTAATTTCCATACAAACGAACTTTAAAATTTCTTTTACAAATAAATTTTGTTCCGGGGGAGCTGCCCCCGGAAACCCCCGCAAGGGCGCTGCCCTTGATCCCGCGACCTGACCGGGCAGGTCGAACCCCACCAGGGGGCAGCGCCCCCTTGGACCCCCGGCAGCCCCCATATTATGTTTCTTGGACAATATTATGTTTATTTTATCTAAATTTGTTTGCTTTTAGGTGATCATAAAATGTCATATTCAGTTCAATCTTTAAAAAAAGATCCAGCATGGAAATATGCTATACTAACAAATGAATCCGACAACAATAGTGTGACATGCATTTTTTGTGGTAAAATAACAAAAGGAGGAATTACATGCCACAAACAACACCTCGTTGGAGGTTTTAGGAATGCAAGGCCTTGCTCTAACTGTCCCGAGCATGTGAAGTCTGAAATTAAGGCATCCATGTTGAAAAAAAAAGGATTTAAAGGAACAGTTTAATGACCACGTATAACTCAAAAATGTCAACCTTGCTGAAGAAGAAGGTGAAGACATTGATGTGATGACAGATGTTATTTTAATTGCTAAATCCATCCAAAATGTGCTGACAAATAATCTAACCCATCTAGTCAAGGATCGACATCTATATCTATCTTCAAAACAAGGTCCATTAGATACTTTCCTTACACAAATCCGAAGATGTATAAAGCATAAGAAAATGTCAGTTTAACAAAGAAATGGATGCAGCTAAAAAGAATGAGGGGAAGGGCTGTTCAAGTGTTCAGTAGATGGATGTACGATGCTGGGATTCCATTTAATGCTGTGAACTATGATAGTTTCCTGCTATGGTGGAAGCACTTGGGCAGTTTGGCTTTGGTATGAAACCTCTAGTTATCATGAGGTACGAGTTACTTGTTTGAAGAAAGAGTTGGACATACACATGAGCTATTGCGACGCCATCAAGAGATTGTGTACGATATGGTTGTTCTCTAATGAGATAGATGATGGGACGTCGATGAATGTGAAAAGCTTAATCAATTTTCTTGTTAATTGTCCAAGAGGTAGTGCATTCATAGAATCAATTGATGTTAGTTCTTTCTCCAAGATGCGTGAAAATATTTGAACTTTTTTGCAAGTACATCGAAGTTATTGGCCACAATGTGATCCAAGTGGTCTTGATAATGCATCCGAAAATGTTCTTGCAGGTTTGTCACAACTTTTATTTCTAAGTTATGTTATTTCATGAAAATTTATATGTTACATTAATTATAATGACATAACAGGAAAATATTGATGGACAAATATCCTCACATTATTGAGACTCATTGTGCTACTCACTTGTTTGGATTTAATATAATGGAGGACATTTTCAAATCAAAAGCTAAGGCGATGCTTTGAGAAAATAGTGGAGTACACATGTTTTATATATTCTAGGCTCGCTTACTTGAGTTAATGAGAAGGTGCAACAATCAAAGAGCACTGTCAAACCGCAAAGACTCGCTTTGCAACAGCTTTCTTAACTTTATAACGTTTCATCAACACAACTGAACTTGAAGAAATGTTTACTTGTGAGTAATTTATCTTCGGTCCTTATGCGAAGAGGCTAAAGCAAAACAATCTCAACATACAATCACAGCAATCATTTTGGAACACTATAAGTGTATGTCTTAAAAATAGTTGGTCCTTTGTTAAATGTTCTTAGATTGGTTGATGGAGAGAAGAGCCCCATGACTTATATATATAGTAAAAACAATTGATAGAGCAAAAAGAGGCAATTGCTGCAGCTTCAATAATAGTGATAAGTATGATCAAATTTTTAAAATGATTGATAGGTGGGAAGTGCAATTACATCGCCTCACATGCAGCGGGAATTTTTAAAATCATGAATATTTCTTCAATAACCCTGATATGCAGATAAGGAAATAGTGATGGTCTTTCACAATGTATTAAAAGATTTTCTCAAGATGTAGCTGAAGAAGATAAAATCAGTAATGATTAAGTTTATCATTAGGGTGAAGGACTTTTGGTATCCTCCAGCTGTAAGACAAAGAACTATCCGATTCCAGGTATCATATTTACAAAAAAATATAAGACTGATTTGTTATATAATATTGAAAAAAAAATTCATTTTCTTCCAGTTGATTGGTGGTTGGCATATAGACAATGACTCCCAATTTACAAAGCTTTGCTTCAAAGTCCTAAGTCTAACATGTAGTTCATGCTGGATGCGAACGCAATTGGAGTATTTTTGAACATGTAGGTATTTAAATGATGTGTTGATTTTTTATATATGTTCATAATATTAATATAATAATATTTAATTGCAAGCTTCTAGCAATACGAAAAAAATTGGATCATAAAAAAGAATAAATGATCATGGTCGTTAAGATAGTTTATGTGAAATATATAAGCACTGATTCGAGATTCATCATCGTGATTGTCATTGATCATATTTTCTTTGACTGAGATAGATGATGCAAATGAAGTCTAACAGGAAAATTAGATGATGAGTCTGATGAAGAAATGACTTTATTGATGGAGAGGAAGATTTAACTTGGAGAAGTGTTGCAAAGCTACTGGTGTTTATGATAAAAGTTATAATATCGGGAAAGTTCTAAAGGGAAAGAGAAAGAATCTTCAAATTAGACATAGAGAATGATGAGGAGGAGGTGATGAAGAGATTATGAAGTAGGAACAATGTGAAGAAGATAATGAAGCTTTTTAACATTTTGTTGATGATGATGATTCCCACGAAGGTAGATTAAATTATTATTTGATCCTTTAAAAAGATATATATTTGATTATAGTATTGGATGTTATTAGTCGAACTATAATGTTATGTTGTCTTATTATTATATAGCTTGTTTTCATTTAATAATATTCATATTTCATGCTTATTATTTTATAATTTTTTTATATAGCTTCGCTAGTTTTCAAAATAGCGTGTGTCAAGGCGCCGTGCGTGCGCTATGCGTGCCCATGCTCAAAGGGACGCTTTGCGCCATGGTGCGCATTCACGTTAGCAGGTATGCTTGGGAGATGAAATTGTTGTTCCTAATCAAGGACCAAAGATTTGTTGTTGCAGCATCTACTGTAGCTTTAGTTAACATTTTAGCAGGGGAGTAATTTAGGAATGATGATTTGTTATTTTTGGATGCTTATGTAACTGTTTATGTGAACTAGGTTTATACTTATAATTGGAGAAAAATTTCTTTGAATTGTTTTTGTTTTAGGAGTTGGACAAAGGCTTGATGTTGATGATGTTTGTGTTAGGAATGCTATAGCTGAACTCACCACCCCCTCCCATTTGGTTTTTTCAAGAGAGAGAGAGAGAGAGAGAGGAGTCTAACAGGTGCTAGCCATGTTTAAAAATTGCTCATATGAGGCTCGCCTCAGTGCAATTCCTGTGAATAACGCCCTCGAGTATTTTTTAGGCTTACGCGCTCAGCTTGGTTGAGGTCCGCCTGAGGCGCTCCTCGCCTTTACTAGCATGAGGCATATGCCTCAACTTATATATATAATATATATAATTCCTAAACCCTAAACTAAAGCCCCTAACAAATCATACTTTCATGCACCCCCAACCACAACAATTTCCTCTCAACAGCCTCAACTTCTTGCTTACTGTTTTTGCCGTAGCCACCGCCGGGAATCACTTGAAAGCCGCAAACCACCACCACGTCCACCTCTAAAAATTTTGGAGTATTATTCTCATCTTTATGTTGATGACAAATATTTTTGAAAGAAAAGATGAAATAAATGAAAAAGAAACAGATTGAGAGGTTTTTAATTCCACCGGATGAGATAAGAGAGATCAATTTGTTATGACACGATTCAAATAAATACCCCTCATTGATGACAGTGCAGATGATTTTTTGAGTTATTGTCAATTATGTCATTTTTTTAAGGATTTGAATATGGATGAGTAGGGAACTAAGAAATGAGAAATTTGGAGCTGAACTTGCTATAGGATACTTTTACGTGGTTCTTATTTGTTCTTGTAATATTTATATTTCAATTCTATTTCACGCAATTTATTACTTGTTTTTTTACATCTTGTGCAAATTTTGTTTCATATATATGTCAATTTGTTACTTCATAGTTAAATCAAAAGTTAATATGCTATTTTTTAACATATTATTTGAGTATTATATAAAAAATCACTGTTAACCTTTATTTTTACTTTACACATTTTTTTGATTTTGATGCTTATGCCTCGCCTAAAAAAAAACGCCTCAATACCCAATTGTGCAATTTTAAACCATGGTGCTAACTTTGGCATTGAATGTACAGTAGTATTTTTTGTATGTTCTATTAAGCGCATCTGGAAGGCGGGAACTCTCCATGAAAGCAATCTTTTAACGGTGCTTCTCATTATTGTAAAAAGGGACTTATTGATTCACTTGTTTTTGCCCTTCTGATTGCTTTAGAGATATCGTTTAATAACTTGATGTTTTTTATGTGATGGGTCTATAGGGTGCTTCCTTTACTGATCCCTCTATAATTCAGATTTACATTTTATGTGCTAGAATGTGTGGTACAGTTCGAATTAATTTTATTGACCACAAAGTTAGTGACTCTACGGAGTAAACTGAAATTCCATGTTTTGGCATATGCGGTTTTTTGTGAACACTTTTTTTCCTGTACAAATTCGAGAAGCCTGCTCACTCTTTTTTTTTATTTGCTTATGCTGCAGCGTTCTTGTTCACAGTGGTGGTGTACATGGTGGACATTACTATGCTTTTATCAGACCAATTATTTCTGATCACTGGTAGGCAAATAATAGCTGTATTGTTATGTTTTCTTTTCTAAACTGCAAACAGTCCTGTCATTTTAACTTAGAGATTTCTTTATAACTCTCCGTAATGGTGCATGCTTTCATTGCTTGTTTTTCTTAAGAACGATTTTGAGAAAAATCTCATTAAGCGTTTTCAATGTTTTTCGAGGTCCTTTTTTTTCAAAAGTTTTTCGAGATCCTTGCTTCCAAATAATTCCTACAATTGTTATGCCAGCTTGATTTTGCGTATGCATACTTTTCAATTATTTTTTGCATTAGGTCTTTAAATAAGAACACCACTTGAACCTGGTTGCTTGAACATGATGTATTAACATACAAATATTTGACTACTTTCAAATATAAACTTTTGATTTTCTACTATATTGTTAATGTGCATTACGTTGTGTTGAAGCCTCCACGGGGCTACAAAGTAAATGCCCTAATTGACCAGATCAATTGCAATACAATCCTGATAACTCTGAAATATTCATTACAACATCAGCCTTCTTGTTATTTATTATGAATCCTCCCCTCCATTCTTTCTTTCTGAGTGCTGTCAGTTGAACCCTAGTTCTTGCAAACCTTATGCCTATTTTGAAACATTCTTTCACAGGCATAAATCAAGTGACACTAAGGTTTTTAACTATGCAAATATATATATTTTCTCTTGATCTACATGGGAAAATTCAAATCTTGCCTTGAATGTTACTTTCTCGTTTTCCAAAAAGGTGTTCTAAATCATGATTTTGGTGAAATTAATTTGTTGATCACTATCTGTTAGACTGGTCATTGGACCGTCTCATTATGATTGTTCTATGCTGTTTTGGGCTCTAGCGGCATTTAGAGAGTTGGGAGAGACGGATTTTCTCTCCGATTGAAGATCCATTGTATCTTGTATGCTTTTTACCTACCATTATCAAATCACTCATTTTCCCACTTGTGTTTTCATCAAATTCTTCCACTTTCTGGTTTCGCGCCTTGCTGAAATTCAAATTCAGCCAAGGTAATTTGGAGATTGACAAGTGTTTTCTATCAAATTGGTATCAAAGCGGTGTCCGGGGCTGAAATTGGGGCCTTTCCTTTGATGATTTCTGCATTTTTCTTACCTCCAAATTGCTGATTTTTGCTGATTGAAGGGAGTATTTTTTGTTTTTTATCATTGTCCAAGATCCGAGTACCTATGGCAGCAAATAAGGTGGATGCTTTGGAAGAGCATCTTGGAGGAGTGATGGTCAAATTAAAACAACGGTGGAGGACATAATCTCCTCCATGGAGGATAAGTTCTCCAACCTAGAAGAGATGATGAAAAATGTGTTGGATCTTCTCAACCAAACAGCGGCATCAGAGGAAAAAATACGGTAAGGGGAAAAATCAATTTTGGTAATAGGAGGGATGACCATGATGTGGAGATCTTGGAGGGAGAAGAAAAAAGACCTACTATCGAGCCTATTCAAAGGGAGGAGATGGGTAGATGGTATGAAGAAAGATGTGAGTATGTGGGGTATGAGCGAAGGGTGTGTGTGGGGGGGTGATTTTTATAGGAGGGGGGAAATTGAAGGTGGGTTTGGGTACGAACGTGGAAGGGAGGATCATGATACTTGGGGAGAATCACCCATGTGGGGAAGGGAAAATTATGGAGTAATAGGGGGAATGAGTGAGATTTGAGGGTGAGGAAGCTAAAGATGCCCATTTTTGAGGAGATGATGCTCATTGCCGGATCTACAAAGTGGAAAGGTATTTGATCGTCAATGGTTTAACGGAGGAGGAGAGGCTGATGACAGTTGGCTTATGTTTAGAAGGGAAGGCCTTGGCTTAGTACCAATGAAGGGACATACAATGACCCATATGTAGCTGGAGGGAGTGTAAAGACTGCTTGTTTGAACGTTTGTAAACCAGTAGGGGAGGAGACTTTTTTGAGCAGTTTTTTCACCCTGACACAGGATGGCTCTGTTGTAGAGTACCAAGAGAGGTTCAAGTACTTTTGCTAGCTGACGGATCACCTTTTTGAGATGGTGTTAGAGCGGAACTTCATGAAGGGACTCAAACCAGAGATCCGGGCAGCGGTTAGAGTGATGAGGCCTCATGACTTGGGAGTGACTATGGAGCTATCACAGTTAGTGGAGGACTAGAAGCACCTAGAAAGGGGGGGGGGGTCAGAGGCAGTAGTTCAGGAGGCTCGTACAAGATGACCACAACGTTCTTAGCTCTTAAGGGGCCAACAGTGGGAAGCCTTCGTGAGGCCCCAAAGGAGAAGCCCGCAGGACTGGGATTTGGGGGAAATTTTAAGAAGCTCACTAAGAAAGAGCTGCAGGAGAAACAAGCGAAGGGATTGTGCTTCAAATTTCATGAGAGGTATATGCCGGTGCATAGGTGTAAGGTCCAAACTCTTCAGGTTCTCACTATCTGTGATGATGAGGAAGCTGGGGAGGGAGGTGAGAGTGAGGCAGCAGTAGAAGAGGAGGAAGAGTTGCATCTTGACATGATCAAAGTCTTCTTAAACTCAATGGTGGAGTTCACCTCGAATCACACCATGAAAGTGAAAGGAAAAATAATTGACAGAGAGGTGGTGGTGCTGATCGACAGTGGGGCTAACCATAATTTTATCTCTAATTAGGTCTTTGACCAATTGGGGGTGAAATTAGTTGACATCGGGGACTATGCGGTGATGATGGGCACTAGGAAGATGAGGATGGGTAGAGTAGTGTGTAGGGGAGTTGTGCTGTCTATACAAGGGGTTCAAGTAAGGGAGAATTTTCTCCTATTGGAGTTAGGAAGCACTTATGTCATCCTAGGAATGAAGTGACTGCAGACTTTGGACAATATCAAAGTCAATTAGGGAGCACTGATGATGGAATTGGTGGTGGAAGGAAGAAGAGTGGTGATCTGGTGAGATGCAGGGTTGTCCAAAGCCATTGTGTCTTTTAAAATCATGGTGAGGACCATACAAGAGGTGGAGGCAGGATTTCTAATGGAACTGCAATGCTTACCACCATCGAGGGAGGCATGCTAGTAGAACAAGTACATGGATATGGTTCCGAGAGGGTTCCTCCAACCCCTAGCTCTACCTGACATGGTATGAGAGGAAGTCACCATTAACTTTGTAGACGTGTTACCTCAATCTTAGGGGTTTATAATGATTTTGGTGGTTGTTGATAGGTTGTGAAAGTATGCTCATTTCATCCCCCTAATACATTCCTACACAACAGTGATAGTGGCAACGACATTATCACAGAGGTGGTCAAATTACACGGGATGCCAAAGTCTATAGTGTCCAACTGAGATAAAGTGTTCCTCAGTTACTTTTGGAGGGATTTGTTTAGGCTGCAGAGAACAATACTGAAGAGCAGCACCGCTTAACACCCTTAGACAGATGGACAGACAGAAGTGGTTAACATGAGTTTGAAAACTTATGATGCTTTGTTTTAGAGACCCTTCGACTTTGGGCCAAGCGGCTATTATGAGCGGAGTACTGATATAACACTTCATATCATTCGGATTCACATATGACTCCCTTTAAGGTGTTATAGGGGGGATCCACCTCACCTGGTGCATTTTGGGCAGAGTAGCACTCTAGTTTCTTCTATGGAACAATACTTGGAAGAGCGAGATAGGGTGTTGGAGGAATTAAAAAGGCATATGCTGAGGGCTCAATTGATCATGAAAAAGAAAGTAGATGGGTATAGGAAGGACATCCAATTTGAGATAGGAGAGGGTATATTTTAAGCTTCTTCCTTACAGAAAGAGGATAATAGCAAACAAGAGAAATAAAAAGCTAGAACCAAGGTACTTTGGCCCTTGTGAGATAGTGGAGAGAGTCGGAGCTATGGCCTACCATTTGAGGCTACCCCCGATCGCTATCATACACCCAATGTTCCACGTCTCCTAGTTGAGGAGAGCTATTGGGGATCATGTAGCTAGTTCAAAGTTACCGGCGACACTGACGGAGGATCTGGAGGTAGTATTAGAACCATTGGAGTTGAAAGGGGTACGATAGGGCGAAGTAGGGATCAAGGAAGTGTTGATTGAATGGAAGAACCTACTAGACTACGATGCCACATGGGAACCATATGAGAGAGTGAAACATCAGTTTACATCTTTTCACCTTGAGGACAAGGTGGGTCTTTGGGAGTCGGGTATTGTTAGACCGGTCCAGCTGGTCCACATTGGACCCATTCATGTCTACAAGGGGAGGAATAGAGTTCCACCCTCCCTTGCTGTTGCTCAAATCGTGGGACCTAGCAACTCCCATTAGGAAGAAATTAGAAGGGGGGGGGGTGTTAGGAGGGAAATTCAAAGTAGGGGCTGTTTAGAGGTTTTCTTTTGGATGGGGGGGGGGGGGGGTGTTAGGAGGGAAATTCAAAGTAGGGGCTGTTTAGAGGTTTTCTTTTGGATTGTATGTTTTAGGTAGTATATTTTCCTAGGGTTAGGGTATGGAGTATTTTGCTAAACAATGATTATTCTTTTGCTGTTTTGGGCTCTAGCGGCGTCTAGAGAGTTGGGAGAGACGGATCTTCCTTTCCGATTGAAGATCCATTATATCTTGTGTGTGTTTTACCTACTATTATCAATTTACTTGTTTTCCCACTTGTGTTTTCATCAAATTCTTCCACTTTCTGGTTTCGTGCGTTTCTGAAATTCAAATTCAGCCTAGATAATTTGGAGATTGACAAATATTTTATATTACTATGTTTATTATAGCTTCCATCGAGTATGTTTATTATAGCTTCCATCAAGTGTAAATATACTCCATTGTTTGACTTCAGTTCTTGTTGGCCTGAGAGCAGCTATCTTTTTTTGCATGTTCCTCAATATTATGTAATGCAATAGTTCAGCAAAATAAGAATGCTCTATTCATGCAATTATTTATGAATGAATGTTTTTGGTAAGCTTAGCTAATAACTGATCAATGTTTCTGCCATTGCTTTTGCAATTGACTAGCCTTTATTTTCTTAATTTGTCAAACCACTTTAACATGCCATGGGGTTAAAATGATACATACTTGCATTAATCCTACCTGTTCCTTGGGCTGTGGAATCACTGTTAAAATTGAGTTGGGACTTAATTTAGTTTTATGCAGGTTCAAGTTTGATGATGAGCGTGTGACAAAAGAAGAGATGAACAGAGCCCTGGAGGAACAGTATGGCGGTGAAGAAGAGGTGACTTATTTTTCCTGTCTAGATTGTTTCCTCATGTGTTACTCTTTCCTTTCATCCTCATTTTTTTCTCTCGGGCAATAGTTGCCGCAGCTGAATACAGGTTTCAACAACGGGCCATTGAAGTTTACGAAGTATTCTAACGCATACATGCTTGTCTACATTCGTGAGAGTGATAAGGACAAAATAATATGCGGTGTGGATGAAAAAGACATTGCAGAACACCTTAGGGTAGGCTAATTGCAAAATTTGTTAGTTATTTTTTTGCTTTCTTGCAGAGGAAACGAATCTAACTTTGATATCATTTTTTCAGATTAGATTGAAGAAAGAGAAAGAAGTGAAGGAGCACAAGAAGAAGGAAAAGTCAGAGGCTCACCTTTATACTATCATAAAGGTCTTTATATGTTTAAGCAACAGTTACTGATGCTGATCTGTCAGCCTTTAGTTCAAGATTACAATTGCCCTTAACTCTTGTTTTTCATCTCATTGTGCATCTAGGTTGCTCGAGATGAGGATTTAACTCAACACATAGGAAGGGGTATTTTTTTTGATTTGGTGGATCATGAAAAGGTTTGCAGCTTCCGAATTCAAAAACAAACACCTTTTAAGGCTTTCAAGGTAATGCCTCTTTTCTGGTAATCATCACTGGGAAGTTAAAAAGAGTTGCACCAATCCATCTGGGTAATTAAATGCATTCATAATTATCGCTGATTGGTGTGTTTCAGTATGAATTTGAATCTTAACATATTTTCATCATTGCCTACATTTGTTTCATTCTTTTCTCCTTCTAGCAAAGATGCGGTACAGTAAATTTAATTTTGTTGGTTTACTAGAAAAAAATTCCTTTATTTGCATTGGATAGTGCTGACATTCTTTTCTCCTACTAGGCATGTTATGTTAAGTTATTTTGACCACATTTTAATGTGAAAGAGCTGTGTATGAGGGGTTTATAAACCTCCAATCTCTTGTGATTAAAGCTTCATGTATATGTGTTGGTTTTGGGCAACTCTAGTTCTCTACTGTCTATCAATCTATTTTCTCTAGCACCTGTCCTTACCTTTGATATTCTCTTGTACATGATATGGAAATTTATCATGCCTCATTTCAAACCTCCAGTCATCCATGAGGTATAATAGAAACAATCGATCAATCTAGACTGTCCCACTAACACCTATACTTGCTTTACTGATCGGGATTGAATGAGTGAAAAATAATTTAGCTAGATCATCATAAAATGTCTCTCATTTTTTAGTAAATTTGTCATACTCATTGTTATGAAAGTATGTATAAAGTAAATAATCAAAATAGATTACAAAACTTCTAATAATTTAATAGAAAATATGATGTGAAACGTACAGGCAAGGATGAGTAAATTAAGGAGTTTGCACGCTTAATATTTAGACACAATAATTAAATCTTTAAAGTGATTTCAAACGACTAAGTAAAACCAAAGAGCGGTAAAATAAAAGCTTAGGCCGAATCACACGCGTAAAAGTTGAGATCAGAAAACAATCAAGTTAATCTAATGTTTCATACATGAGAGGTGTTCAACGATAATCCCTAAACTAACAATGAGTTTAGTCACTAAGAGACGCCCATCACTCAACTCTTTCAACTTCTAGGCGTTAGCGGAGAGAATGGCATGAACCTTCATGAATCACTTATAAACCACAATTGAGTAGAGACTAAGAGATTAAAGATTTGGAGGAGAGTTTACCCAAATAATCGGAAGATATGAAGTTCCGGATGCTATAGGGAGGCTTGGAAGTAAGTAGGTGGCATCCATGAACCTTCTTGAAAGCGTGGTCAACACATTTTGAAACGTCCGGGCAGCATTTGAAGACCTTTCATTGACTGGACAGCAAGATACAGGTGCAGATTTTCCCTGCGACAGCAAACTGCACTGTTGGAATGAACAATTGGGCAGCATACGGGGAGTTGCCGATGTTGGGCAGCAAAGGTGGAAGCTAACTGGAATTCCTTTCTGACAGGCAATATGAAATCTGGACGTTGCGACAGCAAAGAACTTGCCTGTAAGTCTTGGAAAAACTCCTCGTGGGTATGAACAAGAGTTGGCATATAGTGGTTGTGCTAGCGAGAATCCCCCTTGGTCACGGCTTAGGGAAAGTGAGTTAGGGGATGGCTCTCCAGAAAAGGAAATCTGAAACAGTTCTCAGATTTGTAGCAGTGGTGGAGGGAAAATTCTGAAGTTATTTTAGATTTCGGTATTAGTTAGGGATTTGAATCTTGTTGAAATTCAAATTAAGAAGAAAGAAAGGACAAGGGGTGTTAATTATTTTCCCTAATTGAAAGCCTCAATAAGGAAGAAATAAATTAAGCAGAGGGCAAAGGGGCCGGCCATAAAGAGGGAGGGAAATTGTGTCCACATTCAATGATTGGACCAAGGCATTAATTGCGATTAGGAATTAAATCTGAGAATTTATTTCATGGATTTAAGTTGAATTTGGAGGGAATTATTTGAATTTTGAATTCAAAGTAAAAGAGGTGGTAGGGAAGCTTTAATGGGACATTAATTGGGAGCCATAATGGAGGTGGCCGGCGCATTGAGAGACGGGAGGGAATTGGAGACGGATTTTCGAGCTTCTAAAATGCAGCCCACAAAATTAGGAGGAGCGAAAAATTGAAATCCTTTCAATTTAAAATTAAATGAATGAGATTTAAAAGCTTTCCAAATATGACGGTGAACAAATTAGGAAAGATTTTGAAATTCAAAATTCCGAAGTTCAAAAATTGGGGGACTTTTCTCCTTTTCCAATCAAGGATGTATTTGGGAAGGTGTAATGAGGCTATTAACCCTCATTATTGTGGGCAAAAGAGGGGGCCGGCGGTATGGTGGAGAGGGGGGCTTAGGGAATTCGGGGGAAGGTTGGGAATAGGCCATAGTGGTGTTGGGGGTTTTGGGAAGAATTTTCGGTGAATGATTATCCAGCAAACGGTGGGCGTGGGAATTGGAGGAGTGGTGGAGGAAGTTGGGGGAGAAAGGAGATGAAAAAAAATACAAATAAGATAAAAGTAAATCTAACGAACCACAAAGAGATCGAAGAACCGCGACCTTGGACTCTTCCAAAGTTGACGGGTATTGGCGGTCCACCCTCCTCGCGGTTCTCCTCTTCATGATACTCACTAAGAGATCAAGCCCTCTCATCGAACTCACAAGAAGTCAACAGAACATAAAAGAAATTTCATTATCAAATTCATCATCCCAAAATACGAAAACAACTAGCCTTATAAATTAGGCTCATGAAAAGAAAAGAAATAAAAGACAAAATGCCTTCAGGGCTACAATACTACATGACCACTCGTAAGGGTATAAGGAAAACAATAATAGAAATAAATAGTACTAATATAAATACAAATATATCATGATCGTAGCCGTTGATCTTCGATGTCACTCAATCAAAATTTATACATGTGAGAAGTCTTTGATTTATATTATGAACATCCCTTTTCTATTTACATTTCAAACTGGACACCATCCATAATATTATGGTACAAGATAGTTGAGTCGACCTGTTTATGGGCCCACCCTACTGCTTTTCCTTTTCATGAAAAAGCTATCGCAATATTTGATGAACTAAATGCTTAGCCAAACAAACACCACAACAACAACATCAAGCCTTTTATCCCACTACGTGGGGTCGGCTACATGAATCCTTTTTCTCCTATTGTCGTCCTATTAAAAGTCAAATCTCGTTTAAATCTAATAAAGAAAGTCATTCCTAATATTTTCTAACCAAGTCTTTTTAGTCGTACCCTACCTTTCTTAACATAAGTCAAATCTAATACCTCTACTGCTCCTGTAACCGGGTCATCGCAAGGCCCGCCGTTTTATGTGTACCAAACCATCTAAGGCGACTTTCTCTAATCTTATCTTCACTTGGAGTACTCCAACCTTTCACGTATATGTCATTTGTATCTCTATCTCTAAGGGTAAAGCTCACTCATCACCTGAGGCACCTCATCTCTTGCGCACACTTAACTTAGTATTATGCTTTCTTTTAAAGGCCAACAATCGGCCATAAGATCATGCAGGCCTCACTACATCTTATAGAATTTACCTTAAGTTTGAGGGGTCAATTTCTATCACATAACAAGCCCGATGCATTCCTACACTTCAGACCATCCAACTTGAATTCTGTCTGATAATATCTCTCATCTATTCACCATCACGTCTGAATACACTAGATCCAAGATAGTCTAAAAACGTGTACTCTTATTAATGACAATGATCGGCCAAAGTCACAATCCCCTCACTAGGTCTATTACTATTAAAATTACACTCCATATATTCCGTTTTAGATCTACTCAAGCGAAAACCTTTAGACTCTAAGGTTGACCTCCATAATTCAAGTTTACCTTCAACTCCCTCTCTAGTCTTATCAACAAGAAGAATATCATCAGCAAAAAGCATACACCAAGGTACATCCTCTTGCAAATGTCTAGTGAGAACATCCATGAACTAAATGCTTAGCGAGATAAATAATTCTAATATAAGATTCAAATAAACAAGAAAGAAGTAGTAATATATATGATGGCCTTTTGAATTAATATGAACATTTTGGTTATAGATATAGCTAGTTTAGTGTAGTAACAAACTTTAAAGAAAACTGGCTTTGTTTTTTGAATAAATAAAAGCAACCTTTTAAACAAGGAGCATGAACATCTATAGGAACATGAAGTACATTTATCAAGGGTTCAATCTTGAGGTGCACCCTATTTATCAATCTTTGGTATGAAGTTTCTTGCTACTTCCATTTTTTATTTTCATTATTAATCATCAATTTCTTTGACATGTCATATATTGCTTATATTGGCTTTGGCCCCTTCATATCCTTAGCTTGTCACCTAACTTATTAACCATAATAACCATTGATAGAAGCTTTCATTGAATTTATCCACGACCCCTCAATATAGGTTGGACCATTCCAACTTTCTAGTATCAAAAGTTAGGATCAACGACCCTCGATCCAATTTTTCAATATCAATAATCAAGAATTTATTTTTATATCTCTAATGAGGTTCTTCTCGTCAGAGCTTTAGCCTCTTCCTGCTCAGGCCATCATAGTATGCCAACCTATCGCATATGACGCGAATTTTCATTGATTTCTTCTAACTTATTCTCATTATCATTGATATCTAGAATTTCTTTTGCATTAATGCTCACCTGTTTTCAATTAATATGTTTTACATGTGTTAAGGTAAACATGATATGTAACAGTCAACCTCTATATGTTTAAATGAACATTATATTCTATCAAATAATCTTATGAATTGAGCTAATTAAAAATACCTTGAATTCAATTTAAAAGGTGATATCATAAAATGTATTAGACTTGTGATGTGAACATGTTATGATCAATATGAAGAATATCTACTTTCGTGCATTCAATGGATTTATATAGATTAATTATAGTGTACCTAATAATAATTTGCTCCCTATAATAGGGATTGAGTATTTCACCTAAATTATAAGATCTTCTTTGAGATAAATTTCTTGATTTCTATCACCTTGAGGTCTTGTCCTTTCGTAAGCAATCTTATTACCATAATTTTCTCAATTTATAAATTCTTAATTTTACATTGAAACTAAATCAATT